AAAAGTTACTGTTATTAACCACCTTTTTTATACTGATGGGCATTAGCTGTTAGTACTGGTCAATCAAGGAACTAGCAGCTCCATTTAGCATAATACATGCAAACACACATGTTCTATTTTTATTAATTGATGTAGTATTTTATACACCAAACTAGAATTCTGCCATCTGACTAGACATCCTTCCCTTACCCAGCCTTCACCAGCAGCTTGAGAACAAACTTGATTTTTGAGGAAAAAGAACCCCACAAACCCAAATAGAGTTCACAATATTTTAATCACTCAACTTAGTTATCTCAAGCAATGAACAAATAAGATGTGATATACTTTTAATTTCTCTTTCAACTAACAGTGGTCCTTTCTTAAAACCCCCTTCCCAACACAGCTAATGTAGATGAAGTGTAGAACTCCTTAATATTTAAAAGCAATTTATTTTCTAACAGGCTTCTTATTTCCCCGTACAAGTCACCACCAACCAATATGCAGTTGCGGTGACCAAGGTAATCGCTTTATTTTAGATAAATACTGTTTTATGTATGTTTAATTTTATTTAGAGTCACCTGAATGGCTATAAAATGACTGATTCATTTACTACACAATACCAGATAATTGATTTTCATCTGTACCACAGCACTGATCCTCTCAAGTCCAAATCAAAGATTTATATTCACATAACAAAACTAGTACAATACTATTAACTATAGTTATTAGTTACTAGTAACTGTACACCTATACAAGGTGTATTAAAAGCAAACATGATGGGGGTAAGACATAATGGAAACCAAAGTCTGCGTACCACAAGACAAGGTTAGATTAACTTCTAAAGCTTACACTTGGGGAAAATACAGCTGACTTGGGCAGTTCCAGCAAATAGTTATCATACAAAGGCTAGAAAAGCTGTCAAAAATAGGCAAATGGATATTTGTTTCAAAAGAGTATATTTTGAACAGAGTTTGAAATATGCATTAGTAATATACTTACTTTGATGACAGCTTTTCTTAGTGTGGAACCACACGACCACACTGCAAGAGCAGTGCGTTAATACCTTCCCGGTTCCTTTGGTTCCTACTTCAGGCATATACAAAATAAGGCTGTACTGACACTGAGCTCTACACCCTGTTCTTCAGCCAGACACCACCAAATGTAATACAGATCCTTACTATAAACCAATAGAAAACCCACTTTCATCCACACGTTAAAGAGTCTACTCCCATCCCTGAACCCTGTAATCTGACTTGTCACTGAACGTATGTATAGAATGAGTTCACCCATCTTGACACCATAAACAATCTATAGGGTTACTCCATGACAGAAAATTCAGACCAAAAGCTTTTTAAAATCTGACCAGTCACCGAATGGTCAGTAAGATCTTCATCAACCAGATCAAGAAGCTATTACTCCACAAACTATCATTCAGAGAGTCTATGCTATCATTAAGAACAACGTAGAAAAACGCACGCAACTCTGGAAGCTTATCTACAGTGATAGTTTCATCAGAAAAGAGAATGATGCTTATTCGAAGGCACCTGTAAAAGATAACAGGATAGGGATGGAATGAAAGAAGCCACTAGGGGAAAAGAAAGCTAGAAAATAACAAGTGAGGGCTGGAAAAAGAACTGAAAGAGTAAGAGTTATTCTCGATTACAGTGTACAAAGAAACAAACCACTGGCTAGAACTTCTCTGATATTTTTCTAAAAAGACATCAATCCTTCTGTTAATATACATGCATCATCACGGTCCCTTTATGCCCTTGCAGAACTTCAAATCCGAGGATTACTCATGTACCGCTCACGTCTCCTCTCATCCATATACCCTATTACTTTCACTCCAGTACATCTCCAAAAACACGTTGTAATAAATAATACATAAGCAATCAGCCCATAGTGTCATTTTTCTCTCCAGCTACAGACAGAGAATAGCAGGACTATACGATGGTGTTCTTCAGTACTAATACATTATTTATGTACCAAAGTTTCAATGACCCTACCTCATGTGTTACTCAAATGAAAATAAAAGCATTCTAAACCTTGCTTTTGTACTAAATTGGAGAATTAACACTACTGTATTATCCAGCTATGTCTCTGGTTGGCCAGATTACTGTCTAGCTGCTCCTGCCTCACAAAGAGTGAAACAATTCATTAAATAATAGGTTATGCTCAGGTTATATAATGAAGATTAATATAAGGAACTTGATCTGCAACTAGTAGCTTTCTATCTGCAAATAAGAAATCAGAATGTGACAAATTTTCATAAAAATAATGTAAACCCAAGATCAGCTATTAGACACTTTTCTTAACATTATTACTGCTCCTGCAAATATTTAAAGGAAGATATAATACCCCAAACCATAATTTGCTTAAGTAATAAATTAAGTATTCTCTGGACATGCATGAATCCACACATAACAGAGGGGGTAGTTTGTGAAAATTGAGAGGCAACGAACCGTGCATTTTGTGTGTTTTTTAGAACTTCTTTAAGAACTAATTTACAAATTTGTTTTTCCTACACTAAATAAAAATTTCTGTGCAATTCCAGTAATAAACAGAAGTTAAACATATTTTGTTGTAGAGGACAAACTGACATTAAGACGACATCCTTCTTCAAAAGCTGCATACAAAGTATTAGAAAAATGTATTTTCTTATCCCAGTTGGAAGGGACCTCTGGAGGCCATCTTGCCAAACAACCCAGCTCAGCAAGGGTCACCTAGAGCAGATTGCCCAGGACCATGTCCAGACGGTTTTGAGTATCTCCAAAGACAGAGATTCCATCTGTGGATTCCACTTTCTGTAGACAGGGTGTCTATAATATCAGTCGTCCAGCTCACCAGAAGTAAAATCAAGAAAAATTTGACTGCAATAATACTGCGTGTCACTCAGCAGAAGTAGTTTTTCAGGTAATGTGTTCATTTAGTAGACCACTCCAGCTAGGAAACATCCTTTGAAAGCTTTAATTCTGAATTGTTAGGTGTTCTGCAGACATGAAAATGTAAAATATCATATTCATCCATCAGATATAAGGCAACAAAGACTGTTTGGTTAGTAAGTATTGCCAAGTATGCTACAGGACCCTGAAGACACACCTGAAACAAACCAGTTAGCAACTGCTGAGGCAGCATCCGCAGTTGAAACACATCCTCCCTGTTGGTGTGGAAAACAAAGTGCGAAGAGAAAACAGAACTGCTACCCAAGAGTCAATGCATACTGTTTTCAGGATAATCTGAGCAGTAGTGTTGTTGCAGCAGTAAATTACCTTTAACCTTTTGTTGTATTCCCTTCTCCTTTATTTTGGAGGAAGCAAACCCAGAGGTCTTAGTATGACATCTCATAACCAAGCAGACACGGTCTGACCCCTAGACTACCGCAATAACACATTTTCATAAACTGGCCTTGGGGTGAGTTGGCTTCTCTGCAAATACGTTTTAAGAAATGCTTCAGTAATTCAGAAAAAAAAAAAAGTCTAAGAGACTGAAAGATGTCTTTCACCTGCTGGTTTAAAGGAAGAACAAAATGTATTTCATTCATAGAACTGCTTGCATTAGATGTAACATCAAAGGTAGCTCCCATTTTCTAACAGTCTATGTTATCTAAGAATGTATACAAATGCATAGACTTTAAGTAGTAGAAACAATTTGGGTTTCACTATTTTGGATCTTCCCTGTGTACTTTAAGTCCTCAGACATTTATATTCCTACTGTACAACAGTGACTAGGTATAATGACTGTGGTCGTCCCTTCCATGCCTCATAAAATAATGAAAAAGTCATGAAAATACTACCTAGTGCTAGCTGCATCTTCATAAAAGTACCATCTAGTGTCTAGCAGTGCTATAGAAAAATACCTGAATAAATGCAAATCTACAATCTAGAGTCATTATTTGAATGCATAATTAGATTATTTTAAAATAAAATTTCATGCTAGTTCTGTTTAACTGCTTGTGTAACATACTTTTAAGTTGACTATATGTTTATTATAAAACTAGTCATCCATGTGCGAAACAAACTTTATTGTAGCTCCAGCTTTAGAGACTCATTACTACTAAATACAATCTGGTTAAAGACACAATTAATCTTTAAAATTAATGTATCAGATGATTATTTTTTCAAGGCAGATAAAGAAAAAGATTCAGTCAAGGTGACAATTACCATCTGGCTAGCTGCAGTCATTATGTGTTCCCAATTAAATGCACACACAATATTATGATGCTAGCATTACAATGTATGTTAATTTTGCAAATCACCATATTTGTGTATTACTAGAGTTATTAAAGTTATGTATGTGACTGTCAGTTTTAAAGTCTGTTAACGCAGAAGATAAAGGTCATGAATAAATCTGTGTCAGCACCAAGTGTGAGTTAAGTTTCATTCATTTCTTCATACACAAATGCTACCATTTACACTTCTCTTTCCTCCACACCCTTTTTCTACCCTTTTCTTCCCTTTTTGGGGGACTAACTAGTTGTTTGAGGTCTTACTGGGAGTACAACTAAAGACAGAATTAAAATCAATTTAGAAGTTGCACTCTGGCAGGTACCTAATGGAGTTATAGGTTGCATACAGGATGCAGAATGCTGCTCATCAGGATGAATATAGAACCAACCATGCCTTGAAAAGTGTTAAAGGAACCACTGTAATGTCTGAACACTCTGGATTACTCCTGTGAATACATTTATAAAACTATGAGAAAACCTAGAACAGCGTCCTGTTTAGTTCTTTTCATAACATTTAAATCTTATGAACTTTAAGTTTTAAATTACTGAAATTGAAAGAAATGCAATTTCTTATAAACATGTTTGACTAAACATATTCAGAAAATTCCTTCACAACAAACTTGTTTTAGCCTTTTAAGTTCCATAGGACTATTTCACCCTATGAACAAAACCAGATATAAGCAGAATTAGTATCACCAAATTGAATGGAAGCAGGATCAGGTACCACACAGATATTTATGTCCAAATCTAGTAAGAAAAACATTTTACTTAGAATACAATATTAAAATACGATTACCTCCAGCAAGGATCTTCTCTTCCAAATCATTAATTTGTTTCTTGTATGCCTTTAAAGCAGCTTCTTTAAATGATGGTCGTATTCTTTTTTTCTTTGGAGTTTCAATAAGCATCTCTGGGACATTCTGATTTTCATCTTCCCTTACTTCTACGTCAGTAGCCACGTTGCTTTCAGCTTCCAGTATCTCTTCACTGACCACATTATCAAACTGCGTGTCATATTGCTCCTCTGGCAGTATTGCATATGGAGTTTCATATGAAGGCTGCCCCAGTTCGTATTCTTGAACCTGTTCACTAGTTTCACTACTAGTAGTTCTGTTTTCTAGTTTAGCAAGGACTTGTTCCATTACTTCTACATAGTCTGTTTCATTCTCACCAGGTGGTTCAATTAGGTCTTCCTCATACTCTGCTTTATAGCAATAAGGCTCAGCATAAACGTCAGAATCAAGGGTTGTACTTGATTCATTTGCAGTAGACTGAGACAAAGTTCTAAACCTTCCCATGAAAGATGAGCCACTATCTTCATACCCACTTAAACTTTGCGTACTTTTATTCCAGACTACTTCTAAAGCTGACTTAGCACGTTGAAGTGTAGATCCAAATTTAGGAAAGCTGAAAGTCTTATCAGAAAGATCTATGCTTAATCGGCTATGCCACGACTTTGAGGCCGTTTCTTCCGAGTCATCGCTTGGTAGTTCACTCTGACTTCGGTACATCATAGGCAATCTGTTTTGATTCTGATAAGAGGAGAGAGAATTTGTTTCCTGATAATCATCATATTGACTGGTCCACTGGCTTTGTGATTCGCTGTCAAGGCCAGGACATGACGGAGAAGTACCATCAAGGGTAAAATCGTAGCTTTCTGTATCATACTGAAGGTCAGAACTTTCACACTTTACAAAATCTGTCTGTTGATCTGAAGGGCTGCTCATATCATACACAAAAACTTCCTGTGTGGATGCATCTAGGCCCAAATCTGCTGCATGGTCCAACTGATTCCAGTCTTTCCATGGGGAAAGATCGTCATGTAAAGAAAGCTGAGAATCACTGTAGTGACTCCTGTCTCCAGATGCACATATTATTCCATTACTTACTCCGCTATCAACAGTTTCTGTGTTCTCTATTTCATTTTGCTCTGGATACTGTTGCGTATCTTGGACAAAAGTCTGTTCTTGGGAACTGCCATACCAGTTTGTAGAATCATCTTGCCTTCGCTGCCAAAGTTCTCTATCGGAGGAAGACAATAATGAACTGCCATTTGTTCTGCTAAAATATTGGTTTTCTGAAAAGTCCTCAGAGTAGGACTGACATAGTTTTGAAAAATCTGATTCTGAACGGCTAAGTTTTGGCGTTGCAAAGTCATTCTGTAAATGCCATAGAGGACTCATGTCTGAATAATAAGTCTTTGATTGTTTTTCCATGTTGTTAAATTCTGGTGACTGGTTGCCATAATTTCTGCTGTTTGGAAAGGTGCTATTGTCAGGAGTTTGGTTAAGGTCTTTAGCATTTGGAGACTCAATACTCCCCTTTGTAGTGCTTGCCTTTATTTGAAGCGCTGATTTAGATATCTTTGCGTAACTGTTCTTATTTATATCCGATTCCAAGTCTTTATCACTGTCAGGTGACTCCCAGTCATGCATTTTAGTTTTTGTCTCCACAGTTAAAAGCTTCATATCCATACTCTCATATGTCTGGGAGGAAGGTAGCCCTCTTTCCTTTTTGTCATGGGAAAATATGTCTGTAGAAATTCCAATGCCAGTTCCCTTAAGTTTATAAGACTTTTTTAAAATCAAATCCCTCTGTTGTGATGACTCAAAGTAAACAAGAATAGGTCTTGGCTTTGCATTTGGACAGTCTCTTTGCTGCCCCAGCCTTTGGGCAAACTCAATTTTAATAGTGCTTTGTGCCTCTGAGAACCCCATTTTATCTATTAATATTCTGTAAACTGTGCTTTCAGTTTTTTCAAGCCTCTCTTCAGGCACATTTAGAAATCTAAGACTTGCTTTGTTTCCTGGATGTCCTATCTGCTTAATGTAGTCATGTATGTCCCGAGTTTCTCTTCTGGACTGTACAAATCCAGTTCGCAACTGTTCAATTTCATTTTGTACAACTTCTACGCTACTAGAAATTTCATCAATGGATTGTTTCAAAGCATTAACATGCCCTCTTAATTCAGAGAGTTCTGTTTCAATTTGACTTATTCCCTGAAGCTCTTTAAAGATCATTTCCATAACATCATGGGTTTGACTAATACAACCTGTCGAACTAAAGCCAGGTTCAAAAGTATTTGATTTCTGGTGACGGCCAGTTCTGTCCAGAGATTTACTTCTTAAGCCCCATGTTTTCTTCCACGTACTTAGTTCTGAGTCTGATGAGACACATTCTTGGCTCTTCTTCCATTTCCTTAGTTTTCGTAAAGCTCCCAGCTTCAGTGTGTGTAAAGTGCGTTCTCCATCAGAACTTCCGTCAGATGGTGCAAGGCTGCTTAAGCTTTTTCTGTTGCGCCTCACAGGCATTGTGTGCGATAAGTATTCGTTTTTCTTGCTATTACTTTTTACTTCACTTAATGACTCAGAATATGAACTGTCATTTGAAGACAAATCTTGAACTATATCTTCATTATTACTGTTTATTACAAAAATATGCTTTTGCAGTCCATTGGCAATAGCAACTCTGTAACTGAATGTCGGAGAAAGTGAAAATTCCCTATTACTTTCCTCTTCTTCAGTTGACAAGTTGCGAGCAGATGGACACTTAGCAATCTTCTTAACAGTGCTTTTTAAAGTATTTGAAAATTTTGGATTCTTTGTTTGTCTAATCTGAGTTAAGTCTTGTTCCTTTTTGCTCTGACAACTCTCTTTCCTTTTTGTACTATTTCCCGATTTCTTTGTAAACATTCCTTTGCAAATCTTATATAAGTAAGATGAGATCAGGCTCTTTAAGAGGAAAGAAACCATGGAGTGTAATTTATATTCAGCTGTTGCCACAAAACACAATTTTTGATCCAGAAAGGTATTTGTATCTCCAACAGGATCATCAGCAAGGATTTCATTAACAGAGAAACAATAGATGTAAAAGCTACTGATGCACCGGTATCAGCTGACAGCCAAAAAAAAAAAAACAAAACCCAAACACATCTGCTTGTTCGAAACCAAATCCTGGAGGGTTTTTTATGTCTTGCAAAATCTCACTCTGTTGCTCATGACTTCTTGAAGTGTCTAAAAAGGAGGGAATGACATTAAAATGGCTTCCAAACAAACCTTATCCTTCAATAATACTGATGTTGTTTTAACTGGGTTACAATGGAAACACAAAGCAGTTTTTATTTATACTTTCCCCATAATTATCTGAATATAATTTTTCATGAACATTTGAAGCTGAAAGCAGTTCTAGACAAATATTTTTAACATAAATGAATAAGCTCTATGTATTTACTGTCTTCTTTGTCCAGTTTAATTCTCTGACTTCAACTGAGATATTTGGTATTATTGCTGTCTGCTTTCTTTCAGAGTAATGACATTTCAATTTAAATCCATATGGTATACAGCAGAGATCAAAAAAACAACAGGGAAACCAGTTGTCACTAGTGAGTAAAATAGAAGTAGAAAGGTCCCTCTTGGTTCATCTTTTGGAGCAAGGTGGGATTCTGTGGAACAAATCAGCATTGTATCCAAGAAGTATTGTTGTACCTTGAGACGGAATTATACACATGACTATGGCTTGAGAAACGGGTGCTTTCCTTTTGTACCAGAAAAACACATGTTACGGTAAGCCAGGACTTAAAGTAGGCATACCTTGTTGTTTTCTCTTCTTTAAGAAGAAAAAAAGAAAAATAACAGAAAAATCAGGGCAACTGATGGCACATTCTCATCCAGGTTCCTAAGTTTTACATTGTTCTCGTCACAGAAAAAAAATTAAAAAGCTACACAAAAGAGAAAGAAGGAGAAACAAGTATGATAAGTTCAGTACAAAACCAGTTGTCATTACAACAGGAAAGCAATTTGATCTAAAATATGGAAGATTTCATGAGGTATTTGGAAGCCTCTATTGCATAAAATAAAAGCTAGTATTCTACAGAAAAGTTGTCAATGCATTTAAAATATATAAATCTGCTTTTTTTGTAGAGCATATCATTCACCTCCCAGCCTCATAGCTGCAGAATAAAACCAAGACAAATAGCTCAGAAAAAAGTCCAACAAAGAAGTAGCGCTTAGAAGTGGCATTTCAGTTTGTAAACCTGCTAAAAATTCTTTGGCAGAATAAGAAATTTATTTAGATGTAGGGTATATGAAGAGTTAAAACTGACTCTGTGGTGTCTTAGGAGGAGTATGGGATATTAACTATCCTCCTTGTCTGCAAACAGTAAGGCATTCTATGGAACATTTTGGTTCACTCGCACACCTCAAGATTGGGTTCTTTTGACTAAAATTTGTCTTCACTGACCTTACTGATATATTCATATTATGGTCAGTAATATACACTAACTACTGATTCCTACTGCAGCAGCAAAATGCACCACGTGGAACAGAGCCCAAGCAAAGCTGGTAAAAGCCTGGTTGGCTTCTGGAATCCTGGAAACAGAGAATGTAAACAAACAATACTTTTCCACTTATAACAAAACTGGGATACAGCACAAGTGTGAGCTGAACAAGAATAGACAACATTCTTCATCCATACCAAAGTTGCAGCCTGTTATTTTATAAAAGGTGCAATATTTGTGGAACGTATCCCATTTTTAACACGTATGCATCAGCATAGCTCCTGTGACTTCTTTTTCTTCCACACTTACGCCTGAAGTCAGAGTATTAAGAGTACGCAACGTTTGCAAGCAAAAGAATGCTCAGTAAACTGAGTGAAATTTTTAAGGCATCTCAGAATATTGCAAAGCTCTTAGTAGAGTCAAGGCTGCCTTGTTTTCACATATTAATAGAACCACCACCCTGGGACACTTCTCGATATTAAAGGCATGTTCCTAGATGTAGAAACACTTGCTAACCATTCAGCTCTTACACTGAGTGTTTGTAATCATTTGTTAAACACGACTTGAAGTGTGACTGCCTGCCTCCTCTGCCCACACAACCACAGCTTTTTAAGTGCCCTCATATAAAACTTCATTTGGATGACTTGGACATTCTTCTCATTGAAAAGACTTCAAATCAACAATGTACAAAGCAGCTAAAAGGCTTGTTTACTGGCTTAGCCTAAAAAACATCAAGAAATAATGAAGTTGTTACTGGCATCTGGAACATTTTCATTCATTTCAAATAAGGTTTTATCTTTCTCTGCAGAAGGATCCTCATTTCATAGCCAGCCATATATATGTTTTGTCCAATGCCCAATCTATGCTTTTATCATAAATAATTGAAATAGCTGCAAATTCATTACCCAAATTATTTAAACCCATTTTCTGACAACACCATTGTAGATTAAAAGTTGTACTGTTACAAACACACAGAGATCTGCTAAATGGAGCAGATTTATGTTCTGTCATGCGAGTTCCATTCCATGTCAGCTATATTAGTCATATGACCTGTTCATCAGTTTATAGCCTACCACTGCCCTGTCAAATACTCGTTGTCTGAAGCTGTACATCTACACAGGGAATTGAGTTTGAGGCATTATAGGTCCATCCATTTCTTTTTGTAAAGATTTGCATGAGGTTTTTCTTACCATTTTAAATCAGTGTCTGTTAAAACTGTAGGACATAAGGAATAGTCTTTTGAGAAGCACATAGTACTAAGTTATTTACTTGAATGAGCTGCAGGTTATCATTCACTGATTTTCTGGATTTGTCCATGTTTCCCAATAAACCATCGTGATCCTGTTTTTTATTTCCACTTTGCTTTTTTGAATTAATTTGTATGACAAAGTTGAACACAAACTAGTTCACACATTCTAAGCATAAGGAATCAAGTTGAAATGTTACAACAGGAAAGTACAGACTTTATGCTAGATGGTTATAGAGCAGGAAACTCTATAAACTCTTCATTAGTTTAAGAGCAGAATTATACTGACAATTATCTCAGATGACCTAATTCAGAAGAATTTAATTTGGAACAATTATCTGCTCCTTTATATTCCTCTTAAATTCTCTTATACACTAAAATACACTTTTAATCTGTATTATTGGTAAGGCTTTCAAGGTAAAGTGATACTCATCTTAGTACTGCGCAGGCTACGCAGACGAACTGCCTGCAGACCCTGTCAAAGACAAGGCCAACAGCAAGAAAGCACTTCTGCTTTCTCTCAGATAATTACTTTTTGTTCCAGGAATTCCTCAAGTTTTCACCAGCAGAGCTCTGCCCTATCGTAAGAGCACCTCCACCATTCACATGAGAAGATGGAGTGCTATCAGCACTCTCTCCTTTTCACTAAAAAGAAGAATTGCTATCATCCACCAGTATAATTTGGAAAGCTCACTATATATACACTGATTTATCTGGTGGTATTTCCATATGGACCCTGCTATTAATGTACCTAATCATCATTTAAAATGTTGCCTTTCTGTTTATGGGGAATGTCACCAATACAATTAACCACCAAACTTCTGTTTCAAACCCCAGTCTAAAGAGACTATAATCTACTTGGGTTTTAACCCACAGGGCCTCCTGCCATCCTGAAGAGTTTGTACATATGCTCATCAAGTACATTATGGAATCCAATCTAAATAGTTAAATTCATACTGGAAGACTGGTCATTCATCTCTCTTACTTGACTTATCTGTCCTTTCAGCATACAACTTAAGTTTAAGGATAACAACAGATGCAAGCGCTTAAAACTGACTGTGGCCCATTGTGATTTAGAGCAGTGTCTGAAACAGAAACCGCATATAAAACTTTGTATATTAGTGAATTAACTCAGTGGTTTAACAGTTATTTGTGACTTAATGACTTTGTAATATATAGAAGCACATTGTCTTTAGGACAGCTTAGAAAAAAATGGAAATTCCCAGCTAGCTAGGGTGAGTAATTATTCTGGAGAGAAAAGTCATCTCCACTGCTCCCCTACCGCTATGACCACGATGGGAAAAAGAGAGGATTGTTTTTCAGAGAGTTGAAGACATTTTTTCCGCAATTACTATTGAAAACAGGCAGGAGTTGAAAAAAAAAAAAAAACACCACCACTTTTTTTGCAATTATTTTCCTTATTTTTTTAGTTACACTATTCTCCACACCTTTGTGTGTATTGGTAGTATTTACATTTCTCTCTGAGAAGTCTTGTTACAGCAACTGTGAGGCTAAAGTTGCCAATTTATTACATATGAAATACTAATAAAATCTTTGAAGACATTTAGAACACTATTGTTTTAGAAACAATTGCTTAGTATGGTATTTATATTAAAAATGTGAAAGTTCTATTGAAGAAATTGTCCCGAAAAGACAATGACCTGGACAAGAACTAAAAACCAAAGGCAGAGATTTGCCAAATATAATAGGTGAATACTTAAATGTAAAAAGCTATTGAACATATTCCTAAAGTTAAAATATTCTCCCTTTGGAGAGCAGTAGATAGCCTAATATAATGTGTTTGAATATATTAATGCACACAAGGGGTACAAGACTGCAGGTGATTTGGAACACAGCTTCACTATTATTTGGCTAAATGTACTAACCTTGTTGCTTTAACATTTCTAATTGTTTCCTCACCTCTTTAAAGTAAAAAAAGAAAAAAAAAAACCCTGACTCTACTGTATAAAGAAGGCAGCAATAGCGAACTAAGAGTCCTTTTCCCCTCTTCTACAGCTGTATATATGATGTATGCTGTCCTACATAAACTTATTTTTAGTCAATACTTTCACTTCAAAAGCTGCTAAGATTTAGGGATAATTCCACTTAGCAGTCCATTCCTATTCAAATGCAACCTACAAAAGGAATGGAAAACCCAGAGAGCGAAGTTATTTGCTGGCAATATGGGGATAATTGTATTACTAAGTCAGTACCAGGCATATTAGCTTCTACGTACAAGTTAGACTATTATATGCATGCTATTATGTCAGTCTACTACAGATATACAAAAGATTGACCATATAGACTACAGAATAATCAGAACCAATTTAATGGCTTTAAAAAATAGAAAGCACCACATGCATTTGTCTAAATCTCAGCTATGTCCTTAAC